CCACACACACACGCACACACACACACACACACATAGGAGACAGGCCAAGGCAGGGGTGTGTGGAGGTTTGGGTGTGTTTATTCACGGTGTAGAAAGTAACTACCGTGAACAAATCTGAATAGAATGTTGTATTCCTCTGATTTACTTCTTTGTTCTCACTAAGGCCCCGGCCACACGAGGACGAAAACGGTTGTTTGCATTACTGTTTAGTGTCATATAGACCGTTCGGCCACACGAGGACGACAGAATATGACAGTACATAACTGCGGAAACGATAACGGGTCCCAAGGTGGATAGAACGGCATATACGCAACGCTCTGGGGGGTCCAACAGCTCCGAGTGTAAGCCCTATACGATCATTTTCTGATAATGATGACGCAATAGCCCCGCTCACCCCCGCGTCAAAGTAAACGGCACACTGAATTCAGATTATTTATCTTTCTCTCGATATGGACATAAACGCGAGTGAAGTCTAATCTGACAGGACGGAGACACGCAGCTCACCTGCAGCTCTTCCCGCTGTGATGCAGCGGTGAACGGAGCAAAACACACACTTCAAGTCAGATCATCATCCTTAGCTATTTTAATTACCTCTCAAACTACCTAAAGTTATAAATATGTTTATTTTTACTTTCGGCCGGGTCACTCATTACTGGATCAGCTGCTGCATGAGACAGACACTGACGCTGTCCGAAGAGAGGGAGGAAAAAGAGAGGCTCCATGTATTTTATTATATTATATATATTCGTTATTCATTTGTTTTAAAGCTCAATAAATAACAAAGAAGACCTTTGACCGGCACTTTTATAATTTTGTCCGGAAGATTTCAACTTTAACACACGTTGACTGGCGAAAAACTCTGCCCGATTCCCTCGGCCCCCACCGCGGAGAATAAACAGAAGGGCAACCATGACAACCATGCTTCTTCTCTGCTTTTGTGGAGGAAGATACAGCGCCACGTACAGGCTCCTGCATATGTACTGCAGCTTCTCCAGCGGTTGGAGCTAAACGGAGCTGTCTCATGTGGACAGACACTATCCAGTGAATATTGCGTGTGGACGGAATCTTTTTTGCGATTGCGTTAATCCTATGCGTTTAGCCGTATGCGTCCTCGTGGGGCCGGGGCCTAAGGCTGATTCTCCTCTCTATTCACACGTTCTCTATCTTCTCTGGCTTGTTGCTCCAGGGAAGACAGGCTAACTTTAAATGCTGTGTGTTTACAAAAAGCAACGGAAAATTCAACAAAAGATCCCTTAAAAATGATAATAATTTATATAAAATAAATAGCAATATGAATACCTACTTATGAAATACCAAATAGCTGGTAGTGATGTGGTGTACTCCTCACATTTAGAGATGTACTGTTTTATTGTGGCTCTTCCTCTTAATCCTTATAATTAAATGTAGATTAAAAGCCTTAAGTACTTTGTCATTTCAGGCCATATATTCGTGAGTTATTATATTGATGAGAAGAACAGAAAAACAGTTTGCATTCAATACTAATACATTTCTTAATGAAGTGGTGATTGACATGCGTCGCAGATGCTCATTTTGTCCATGTAACAGATCCATGATAATACACTTTTTCCCGTGTGATGCCAGAAAACAATATTCCTGTTAGTCAAAAAGTGTATAAATGTACTTCTCACTTCACCAAACGTGTGTTCATTATTTTCTGAGTACATAATGTCACTTGTGTTCATGATTATGGCAGCATCCACAACTCAATTATTGTTTTCTATTCAAGCATAATCTGAAATAAACCAAACACTGTATGTGCTTGAATCTGTTCAAGCACATACAGTTGCAAGAAAAAGTGTGAACCCTTTGGAACTTCCTGGATTTCTGCATAAATTGGTCAGAAAATGTGTTCTGATCTTCATCTAAGTCACAACGATAGACAAACACAGTCTGCTTAAGCTAAAACCACACAAACAATTATATGTTTTTATGTTTTTATTGAACACACCATGTAAACATTCACAGTGCAGGGTGAACCCTTGGATTTAATAACTGGTTGACCCTCCTTTGGCAGCAATAACCTCAACCAAACGTTTCCTATAGTTGCATATCAGACCTGCACAACGGTCAGGAGGAGTTTTGGACCATTCCTCTTTACAAAACTGTTTCAGTTCAGCAATATTCTTGGGATGTCTGGTGTGAATCGCTCTCTTGAGGTCATGCCACAGCATCTCAATTGGGTTGAGGTCAGGACTCTGACTGGGCCACTCCAGAAGGCGTATTTTCTTCTGTTGAAGCCATTCTGTTGTTGATTTACTTCTGTGCTTTGGGTCGTTGTCCTGTTGCATCACCCATCTTCTGTTGAGCTTCAATTGGTGGACAGATGGCCTTAAGTTCTCCAGCAAAATGTCTTGATAAACTTGAGAATTCATTTTTCCGTCGATGATGGCAATCTGTCCAGGCCCTGAGGCAGCAAAGCAGCCCCAAACCATGATGCTCCCTCCACCATACTTCACAGTTGGGATGAGGTTTTGATGTTGGTGTGCTGTGCCTTTTTTTCTCCACACATAGCGTTGTGTGTTCCTTCCAAACAACTCAACTTTGGTTTCATCTGTCCACAGAATATTTTGCACATCCAGGTGCTCTTTTGCAAACTTCAAACGTGCAGATCAGAACACATTTTATGACCAACTTATGCAGAAATCCAGGTAATTCCAAAGGGTTCACATACTTTTTCTTGCAACTGTACATGTCAAAGCATACACAACTTTGCATATAGACAGCGTTTTTGTTTTTGTGTGTCTGAATCTGGAAACACTGTATATTATGCATTTGTTGATTTTGCACACCTGATTTGGAAAAGCGTGTGACTGCGGACATACCTTAAGATAGTCTCCATCTTCCAATAAGAAGCTCTCAGCTTTCAGTCTGATTCCTTTGCCCTTTTCAGTCGTGATGCGGTAGATGCACTCGTGGTTGTTATCGTAGTTAGAGGGGAAGTTGGGAGAGAGCAGAACACCTTCGGGTCCCAGTGAGGAGGCTCCACACTCCGCTGCAGAAAGAGAGTAGGGGGCAGCGATAGTGGGGGTCAGGATCACAGCATTTCTTCATAATTATCTCGGAGCAGTCGGAATACCTTTTAGCTTATTGTGTAAGAGAGGTGAGGAAAGGACCTCAAAATGAAGAAGAAAGATTACATTAAAAAACATATATAGTCTAAAGAAGAACCTTATTCAACTTTGACATTTAAAGTGGACCTATCATTCTATATTTGAATAATATAGTGTAGGGCCATATCTACTGTATATAAGGCCTATTTATACTTTTTATTTTTCAAAATACCAAACAGATCATGCATTTTAGCCATTCCTCATTTCACTCAATTTAACACTGTCTTTGCATGGGCTGATTCTGTGAGAACAGCACCATCTATAGGCCTGGCATATGTACTACAGCGTCTCCAGCACTTTCGAACGGCAATATCCGTGGCTGTCTCCTCCTGATTGGTGGAGTTGGCCCCAAAGTAACAAAAAAAAGTCCTAAACAGTTGTGATGTCGCAAATCAAACGAGGAGGTGGCCGGAAGAGAGAGACAGACCAGAGTTGATGAAGAATTAAAGGAACAAAAGGGAAGGTTCAATCAACGCGATGCGCGAGTCACCCTCAATTTTCGGACGACAAAGAATGCGGAGTAAATGTATACTGTTTTGAAGACAACGTGTTTCATGGGAAAAATTAAGGCTTGAAACCTATTCGGTACGTGGACCGACTATGTGAGAAATAGTAAATATTACCTTGTGAGAAAGGTTTGATTAGAGTGTGGCGGTAAATTACATTACCTAAAGAAAAAAAACCGAGAAGAAAAAATTAGAACGGTGCAAATACAAATAACGAAACACAAAAAAAGAGCAAAAACAGAATAACTATCACAAAGAGGTTTTTCACAACATGATATGACATAGTTGAACACCCAATAATACAATTTCCACTGGCAATAGTACGTTTTAACGGTGAAAACATGCCAAACGATATGTACTTATACACAGGGGCCACAAGGTCCCTTGAAGTGGTTCACCCCAGTCTTTTGTGTTCGGGAGAGAGAAAAGGAGGTATGGCCGTTTTAGAGATTTTTCCCCCGACGTGCGCTAGACTATGTCTGACGAGGTCTAACTTGAGAAAGACACGCAGTGTCTTCACCGCGGA